ACAGGAATAGCAATGGCAAATCTCGATTGAAATTTGATAAAGGCAAAGATTCAAGTATTTATCCTTCTTTTCCTGTTATGAGCCATATTTTAAGGTAACCAAATAGTTGATTAAGTTTCTTATTTTTGTTTTTGGGTTTTTTTTTCAATAATTTCACTTAAATGCTGAAAGAATGATCGAAAATTGTCATTCTGGGGTGCCTGGGTGGTTTAGTCAGTTAAGGGTCCAACTCTTGATTTTGACTCAAGTCATGATCTCGGGGTCCTGAGATCGAGCCCCAGGGCAAGCTCTGTGCTGGGCATGGAGTCTGTTTAGGATTCTCTCTCTCCCTCTCCTTCTGCCCCACCCCTCCATCTCATTTGTGCACATGCTCTCTCACTCTCTCTTGAAAAAAATAATAAGTAAAATGTTTAAAAAATTGTCATTTTGTAATGTCAAAAAATCATCAAATGAGATAATAGACCTAGGGAATAATTATAAACAGATGCTAAAAGCTTTAGGCAAAATGTTGATATAAACCTTATTTTGGAGGGAATCAGGTTACTAGCACATGAATCCACTCATAAATTTCAGCATCATCATAAATGAGACAACCAGAGATAATGTGTCTCATTAAGTACTATGACATACTATTGCCTTAAAAACAAACAAATAACAGTAACAAAACTATCTGGATCTAATCTAGCCTAAGATCCAACTCCTAATTTACAGAAAATATTAAAAATAGAGGTATAAAATAAATAACAAAATGAAAAGAGCCAAGTCTAGAATATTGGACATTCAAGAGGACAAATATTGTGGTTTCTTCAACAAATCAGTGGCATTAAAGAAAAAGAGATTTGCTATAGAATAAAAGAAACTTAAGAGGCTTACAATCAAATGCAGTACAGATCTTGATCCAAACGTATTATAAATAGGTATCTTGAAGACAATTAGGGACATTCTAATATGGACTTGGTATGAAATGATTTGAAGAAATAACTAATCCTATTAGCTGTAATAATAGCTTCCTGGTAATGCAAGAAAAAAAACCAACAAATAACAAACAAAAAACGAAAGTTCTTGTCAGAGATGTATACTGAGATATTTGTAGGTAAAGTGTCACCTTATTTGAGGTTTCCTTTAAAATACCTCAAGTTACAAAAAAAAATGGGGGAAACAAGAGTGGCAAAATATTGGTAATTGTTGACTCTAGGTGATGGGTACACTGAGGTTCATTCTTCTATCTAGTTTTGTGTAATGCATGTGGTCAGTGATAAAAAAGGGGTAAGGAGTGAGAGTGGGAAAAACAGTCTTGATTCTAAGTAAAAAAAGTAGAGGCAGTTAGTACGGTAAGTACATAGTTAAATGCGACTTAACGTACAAGTGAGGTTCAGACAAACTGAGAGAGGAAATGTTAGAGATTGTCTAGAGTATAGAATTAGGGCAGATAGTGGAAAAGGTGAAGGGTAGAAAAGGCAGCAATGGTACTCAAACAAGATGCCTACAAGGGTGCTCGCTATCTGGATCACCAATGTTTGGGAACTAGTGTAATAAATGATTGTTTATGTCTGGATAATTTCTCTTTGATCTACAAACTTCTCACGTGCCAGTGCTTCATGCAAAGCATCCCACTGCAGCTCAAACTGTGACCTCCTTCTCATGGACATTACAGCCAGAGTTCTATCTCAACATGGTTTATTTTTAAAACCTTCTCTTACAAAACTAATTGCTGCAATTTAAGAGACTTACAATGTCTTTAACCTCGCTTTATAAATATGAAAACAGGAAAAAAAATCTCTGATTTTTTTGTGTTATCCTAGGAGGTACAGAGAAGGCAACGCAATGAAGACCTGCCTTGTCACCTTCAGCAGAGCAACTGCAGAAGCAATTTGTTACAAGCAGATGGATAGTTGAACGCTTAAAAGGATAATAAACTAGAACGAAATTAGATATTGAAATCAATTTCTTTTAGGCTTACCATGAACCTTCAGATTTACATGATTGTATTTGAAGAAGTCAGGAAAAAAAAAAGGCATACTAAGATGGGTGCCCATGAAAACAGAACTTTACACATGCTATAGCCTTTATAGTCACCATTTACTTTGTTGGTTCAAATATTTATAGTTCATTGTTATGACTGCCAAAACTGGCAACCACAAGGATTGTTGTCTCAATTAGGACAGTAAACAGATTGTCTCTTTTTTTAATGAAAAAATCTAAAATGTAATACTTCACAGTTTAACATGTTTATTCATCTAAACGAGCTAAAAAATAATGGTGCGACATCTGTTCGAGAGGCATTGGTACCTCAAATTTTGGCTGCCTCCCCACCAATTTGGTTGTTGTTTTAAAAAATGAAGAATAGGAGGGGGTACTGTCATCAAAAAATCTTCTGGCACGTAAAGTATCTTATTTTTCTTGAAATAAGGATCTCATGTCTGTTGCTAAGGATAAAAAAATTATTTAAGAATGAGGCACTATGCTGAATAGGGCAGCAGTTCAATTGTTTTAAATGAATTTACCGGCCCACTATGGATATTTCCACACTGGTATAGTTCTTTGAGTGACTCTCCCAGTTCCCTTCATATTTACCTGCATTGCTAAAATACAAAATAAAATAGTAAGAATGTTTCTGTTGGCACTGAATTCATCTGCTAGGTTTTTTTTTTTTTTTTTTTTTTAGTGTGGGTTTCACTGATTCTAGATATGATGTCAGTGGAACAAAATCTAGCAAACACCATTCTATCCAGGCTGCATTGGAGCAATTCTAATAAAAGAAGGCAGTGCCGCTAAGGGAAAAATGGTAGAAATCTCCCCAGAGAAGTCCAAGGTAAGTGTACTTATCTTAGATAGTCTCTGGCTCAGCAACCTTACATTATGGATGGAATATATGAAAATTCTCTAAGTTTAATTTCTAGAAGTTTTATTTCTGAAGCCCATCTAAATAAATCATAATTTACTGAATTATCATTGACTGTATCATTTTAGAATCTGGAAAATACAGTGCTTTAGTATTCACATAAATATAAGCATTATAATGAAAATTTAGTTTTATTTTTGTTGGGAGTGAGGATATATAATAAGTTAAATTAAAAACACAGGGTGGTTTTCAATAATACTAAGATAAAAATAACATATTTGATTTCCTAGAAAAGAGCAATCAATGTTTCTGTTCTACAACAAATTTAACACTAGTTGTTTTGACCTTAAACAGGAACATGATGAAACATATATTTGTCCCAGAACATTCAATGATCATAAATGTTAAATGCTGAATTAATCAATATAGTGATTTCTAAGTTTTATTTATTAAATGCAAATAATTTTTGATAATCTCTTACATGTGGCAACTGTACCAGACTCTGAGAGCACTAAAAGAAATTAACTTAAATTTTGACAAGCATTTATTAAATATGTGCAGATCACTACACTACTGGAATTACAGAAATGAAAAAGAACATATTTTCAGGATCTTGCAATCATTGGTTGGGGTAGAAGTATTTTAGAAAAATTGAAAAGATGGAAAATCTTCAAGTATTTGCCACCTTAAAACAACAAACTCTATACTGTACTAAGATAGGCTTTTTGTTCATTTGTTTTAAAAGAAATCCTGGATGAGGTTATATTTTTACAATATCTCCTCTCAGATGAATCTATAAATGTTTATTTTGCATGCAAAATAAGAACAAGCAACTCTTCAAGCTTCATTCACAGTATTCCATAGGCTATATGTAAAGTCTGCTGCATTAGCTAAAATTTATCCTGCAGAGTATGCTAGCAAATAGATTCTAACATTCTGAAAAGTCATTATAATTTTTCTGTTTTTGTCTTCTGAATTACTCTGAGCAGTGAATTATTGGAGGAGAAAAACCCACGCCTAAAATTTGTGTCTGCTGCCAGTCTTAGATTTATGCCAAACACCACTCACTATTCAGAAGTGTGGTCTGCTGAAAATGTAGGCCAGATATCACCTTTCTATCTTCAAAGATTCAAACCAGATTTCAATCTGGGATTTCTCTACAGGCTGCTTCCCAGTTAATGTGAGTTTGAAAAATTTGCATTTCATGAAAACAGTGTTGTATAAACATATATTGTCTCAGTTTACCTGCTATTTATTAAAATCAGAGTTGAGCCTTTGGGACTTATGGTTCTCTGGAGCCATCATAAGTCAATTACACAAATGGACTAGCCAGAGACTCAGGATATCAATAAAATGAGGTAACCAAACTAGCCTATAATTATACTATGTATAGATTAATACTTATTACTATCAGAAACAACCTTTTTCCCTCAAGAGAACACCTCAAGAACAGAAGGGAAGAGTAACATTTTTTTTTCAAGGTAATGAATTTTCAGACATTTCCAAGAGTATACTCATCTATTTTAAATACTGTAAATTCTGTTATATTTCACTTGGATAGGTATCTAATAAATAATTATTACATATCTTCTCATTTAAATTACTACTGAAATTAGAAATAATCTTTATTTAATATGACTTCTTAACACCATATGGGAGGTAAAATAACTAAATGAAAATTGTTCACGTAAATGTGATAGGAGTGGGGGAAAAGCAGTATTTCTTGACATGTGGCATGTCACTCAGGAAAGGAAAAGGCCCATCATATCCAAAATGCCAGCTTGGATATTCCCTTGCCACCCACTTCACGAACAGACATACCACATGGCATTAAATGCTGCAACCTTTCCTAAAAATGCCACTTGGATTGGTCTGCTGTGGTGAGTGTATAAGAACTCTTGGTCTGTCTCATGAGTTTGTGATTTCAAGGGGTAGAATCCAGTAAATAACACTGGCTAAATTTTGCCCTCAGATGTTTGGCATAAATGATCTGTGAGGATACTGGAACTTTGGGCTGTTTTCACACTGATGAAATAAATTATGCTACTTGAAAAAATTCTACAGAACATAATGCTACACAGTCATATTCAACTATTTGCAAAAGTCTCAAAGAATATCGAGTGTATTCATCAAAGCTTTCTTCTCTGGGCAAATATGGAAACAATCTTAACATTTTATTTGCTCTTCATAAATACAATGTATATGATATAAAACACTTTGCGCACATGTTTCTATTAATTTTTTATACATCTTTATATAAGGTAGTAACTAACAACTCTGGTGTGGACACATATTTTCTCATTTTCTAAGCTTTATGTATTCATGTGTTCTAAAAATATTTTTAAAAAATCCATTACTGGTAAAAATATTGAATACATTGATTGTTATACTCCAACAAATTCACAATATCTTGAAAATTTATGTAAACAAAAAAATTACATATGCGAGTAATATGAGACATATATTTTCTCCTATTATTTATTTTTCACAAAACAGTTCTGATTAACCCTCAAGAGACAAAATGTAATTTTGTAAACCAACTTTGTATTGTTTAGGTTTAAGAGACAACCCAAGAAAATTATTCTGCGTAGGTAGGACTTCTGTTACTGTTATGTGTGAAAAAAAAAAAACACAAAACTGCACAACTAAATGACAGATTGTTGCATATCTCCCAAACAAGAAGGGCAAACTGACACCGCAAGCAGCCAGAACAACATAATTAAAATAGAATTCCAAGTTTATATTAATACAATAATAAGTTAATTAAAATCAAGATCAACTGAACTTTCTATTTACACCAGTTCAGACAGCCCAAGAGGAAAGGAACTCTATTTTACAGACATATGTGACTCTTGAGCTTCTGTCATCCAGGTGCCATTTCTGATGGAGCACATGTGCACTGAACAGTTGGCAAAGAAGGAAAAAGATTACTGTAGATGTATGGCAGATAGTCTCTCTAATGATATAAAATATGTCTGGAAAGAAAGCAGGGCTTCTTTGTAAAATGAAAAATTTCCCATGATTTTCCTTGCTTCTTAGGCTCTGAATGTGATTTGAGAATGTTCCTGTAAATGAGGATATATACTTTTACTTACGACGTATATGGAACAGAAATAGATTTAGTAATCTGTAAGTGATGGAGTTATACACATAAATTGGCTAAGACACCAGAAGAATTTAGGATCTGTTTTCCATTTAATCTAAACGCACCATGAATAGGTTGCCTGTCAAAGTAGAAAGATTTATAAAAGTATCCGGTAGCATACATTATACTCCATTGCTAGGTAAGGTTCTTTTCTTGATATCCTATGCAACTATTTAAAAACATATTTCTGAAAACTGAAATACCAGCAGAAAGAATTCAAGATGTTCCAGTTTCAGTACTTTAGAAAGTATTGGTCCCAAGGGGTGCTTTTGTAAAATTATTTCCCTTTAATGCATTGATTGCTGTTCAGCTAATCTTCATCTCCTTCCAGATCAGGGTCAACATCTGTGGACAGTCTGAGATAAAAGAAAGCATAGAAAGCCAGGAGGAGGGCCAATATAGCTGCAAGTACGAGGCCAACTTCCTGAGGAGGGGAAAAAAAAAAAAGTAGGTTTGAAATTGATGAAAAGAGATTGGTTAATGTTATGAGTTTCATCAGAGAAAATAGCAATATAATTCTATCATCTAAAATAATAATTTGAACCTAATTAATCACATTTTTTTTGTTTAACACTTCTTGTCATTTAGTAAAGTAACTTATTTTGTACTTGACAATACCGACTGCAATGACAAGTACATCAGTGGGTGACTCATTTCTATTATTATTTCTATGTAATTTGTGCTTTTCTAATAGTAAAATTAAACTTTATAATTTTGATATATTTGCATAGTTTGAATATCAAGATGTTGGGTGCAAGCAGTGTAGTCTGTGCCTACACAGTTTCTCTCTTCTCTATTTGAGTATGCTTAACTTTATTTGTTGCTTCAATTAATTTGTTATTAGTTTCAGCTTTAGGACACAATTTTAAAACATTTATCTTTCTTTTTCTAATGGGATGAAACTGCTATTATAGCCAGATTCTAAATTATGTCTCTGTAAATCTTTATTAAATATTGTTTTGTTGAAACTAAATTTAAATTCTAAATTCCATAGTTTATAATGTGGGGGAACAAAACTGAGGACTCTTAGTTCACGAAGCAAGATACAGTATAATTTATCAGAACTGTGAAGGGTGATTCTGAATATTTCATTTGGTGATTTGATGTGGGTTATATTAATTATGTTAAAATAGTAGCCAAAATTTACTACATATATTATGGCAAAAATCCTATTATCTCTTAAAAAGTCCATAAACTTCATATTTATATGAAGTATAGAGTGTGCAGTATATACACACACACAGACTTACACACATACCATTAAGGAATATTCTCAATATTAACATAGCATTTGGCTGAAAAGACCAAAAAGAGCAACTAGTGCCAGTTCCATATCCTAAAGAGCCTAATATGCTTTTCCAATTTTCAATTGTGTATCACACCCATTCCCAGCATTGTTTTATGGAGAGGCAATTTATTTGCATTTACATGAATATATTTTACATTTCATCAGAATGTAAAATTACTAATTCAACCTATGCTACCTAAGAAACTTTAAAAACATTAAAATGAATTTGGTTTATAATCAACATGAAATTTTTACCTGGATGTTGAAATTACAAATGGGCACTTTATACAGATATTTAGCTTCAAATTTACATTTATTTAGATTTCCAAGCTATGAAAATAAATATTGATAAAAATCAGGGGGTTGATAGACTCAGTGTCAACTATCTTAATCTAATACATCAATATAATGTCAAATGAAAGTGAATTTTTCTTTGTTGCAGTTGGAACACTTCAGCATCTCAAAAGGGCATGGCGGCATCAGACAGGTTTCATTTATATTCCTATATCCACAGCTGTGCTCCCAGACCCATCTGGTTACACAGCTACTAATTTTAAGAGGATGTAATAAACAAGTGACACACAACTGCAAACTCCATCTGTTCTGTATAGTGGACAACAAAACTGTTTAACAGCAGTCACCATTCATACAAGCTTAAAGCAAGAATAAAGTTTTTACTCTTGATTGGAGGCCATCATCCACATCTCATTCGATAATCACCTCTAACTGCTGCTTTTCAACTGCTTGCTCCTTGTCCCTTCAAAAAACTCTCTATCATCTTCACTATACATTTTCAGGATATCCAGAGGCATGAAAATGGGTTTTAAGGGTTGGAAGCCAAGAACCTTCATAGAATACACCTTCAGAGGATCCATTAATTCAATTAAGTCTACTGAGGGGGTAGGGCTAAAGAGTTTTAAATGGGGAGAAATAGCATCATTTTATAAAAAAAAATGCCCCATACTGTTGTGAGGACTGAATGTATAGAGGGTGAAACAATGATAAAATTTGAAAATACTGCTTTCAGGATGCTGGTGACACTAACCATAACTTAGAGACCTGTAGGCATTTATGACCCCCCACCCCCTGGCCATTTTTAGTTTTACATCTGAAATCACAAAAAAAAAAAGAAGAAAAATAACGTTTCCAGATGTCTCATCCCAAGAGGTTGTTCACAGGATCTCGTTGACACTTGAAGATTTTATTTATGTAACAGAGAAATTAAATTTTTGATACTTATTCTTTTATTAGATTACACCTTTCAAATAAACCTTTCAAATGAACTAATTAATTAACAAATATGAATTATCTTTTTTCTTCTAAATACTAGGAAACATGGGTATTTACATGCTAAATAATTTTTAATGAAGTTGTAATTCTTAAAACATAATCTAACTGAACAGCAACCAAATAGGAAATCTTAGTTGTGCTAATATTTTTTAGGTAGCACTCGTTACTGGGTCATAAATTACAATATTTTGTTTACACTGGTAAGACACAGGAAATAAAATAGCTTCTAAACAGAAATTAATTCTAGATTTTGACACAATAATATTCACATCTTATTCTGAATCATTACTGTTCTCCCAAAACATTTTCAATTACTAAACATACATTTACAAAAAGGCGCTAAAAGTCTTTGAGCATAAAGACTGTATTGTGTATTCTTTACATCTCCAGTCCTAGATCTCTCAGTCAATACTGTTGATTTGATTTTATATGGTAATGAAATCTGGAAGTTATTTCTTGTATAAATTCCTCCCAGATGATCCTGTCTTGGTCATCTTTCTTTCTATAGGTTCTACAACATTGTAATACTTACAGCATTTCTACCAAAAAATGAAGGATTGAGTAAGATTTAGATAACATATATATGAAGTATATTAAAATCATGTAATACTTGAAAACTTTACAACAGCAATATCAGTATCTCCACAGCAAAACTAAGAACATTTTATAATATGCAATATAATAACACAATGAAGACTGAGTTCAAGTGGGGGATCTTAAGGCCACTGACAACCAACCAAGGAAGTCTTATTTGTACAAACCAGCAATGGCTAATTCAAAGAAATATTTTCTCAATCAGCTAACAATTCATAAATGAATTTGATTTCCTGGGTTCAATGTTAACTGTTTTCGTGGTATTATTTAACTCTTCTGACAACCCTGTGAGGTAATGGCATAATCACTTTTGCAAATATGTCAGCTTAGACTTAGCTAGATCATGACAACAGGAAGAGGCAAGAGGAATGTAATCCTAGGTCTCTTTCTTCCGTGTTCAGTGTTGTCATGGCTGGTATTTTTCTATTCCATGCAGCTGTTCATATTTTCTGTAGATTTAAATTATTTTAAGAGCATAACTATGATTCATTCTAAAAATAAGCAGTAAAGTGATAAAATACTATATAATATTATGGTCATCCTGTATCAACTAGGTAAGAGCCAAACATGTTTGATGTTCATTGGTCCTTAGTTGCTTCTCTGACATTATCAATATGGATAAAATCACTCACTGGGGAAATTAAACAGCATTAAACGGCAATTGCTGAAAGAAACTTCGTTATTTAAAATCCTATGCTAAAATGACAAGGCAATCAAAGTTTGACAGAGCAAACTAATTAGTATGCCAGATTTGAAATGTAAAACACCTCCATGGTTCTTATTCTAAAAAGTTTCATATCATTTTAATGGACTCTTCATATAATTTTTCAAGCAGAGTAACCAATGCTTAAAGTTAAGGTTTTTGTTTTCCACAGGTTTACAAATCAAAATGATATGCTAGCTTATTAAAAAGAAGCTATGTTCAGATGTTGTTAGAAATTCTTCTGTACATGCATTAAATCATAAATTAAATCTAAGAAAAATCTTTTTTCTCAAAAAAAGATAAGCAAATTCTGCATTGTTTATAAAATGATATTAGATAATTGCATTATAAGGTAGATTTATCTGATACTAAGTCATTTCCTCAAATTAAAATAATAAAAATTATAAGAGCAAATGAAGAGAATATATATATATTAATAAATGAATGGCTGCACCATTTCTCAAATTCTAATTTATAGCTGTTCATTATATTGTGCCATAAGTGGATTTTGCTACCCCAATATCTTTCTTTAAAAAAAAAACCCAAAACCAAAACAGAGAGATAAAAGTGAGTGACATAGTGCCTTGGTGGAAAATTACAAATAATGCTCTCACTATAAGAGACAATCACCAGGTAACTAACTGCACAATAAATAAAGAAAAAAAAAACCCTAACTAATGCTTTTAGAAATATCATGTCATGGAAATAATTTCAAAGATGAATAAAATTTCGTGTGAAATTAGAAGAAAACTTCAAAAGATTAATCATCTCTCTTTTCAAAAAAAGGCAATTTACTTTTTTTTTCATTAAAAACTGACACACAACACTAACTGAGGGGATTGTGTTGTGAAAACATACCGTATCACACGGCAATGCTTGATCAAAATCAGCAATCAAGAGTAAAAAGAAGGCAGTGTTTCGTGATCATAATAGCAAATTCTGGAAGACAACCAAATATATCATCTGGCAGTTCAACAGCTGTTACAGCCTAGTAGTAATACCTTGGCATTTGCTATAAGCTATAACTTAGAAAAATTGATTTTTCATCTGCCAGATAAAAACCAAAATCTCCTTTTAACATTTTAATATTTAAATAAAGTATATATACTAGTCATTTTAATTTTACACATTTGACAGTAGAACCATCAAGTTAATTTTAGTATTTATAGTTTGATTCACCTCTAAATACTTGGCAAAAAATTGACATGAGTAATAAGTAAACGTAATTTTGTTGAACTTCATTGTGCTAGCACATTGGATTAATATCTGCTAACATCATTCTCAGATGCATTTATCCCTCTTAAGCAGTTAAAACACTGGTTTTCTAAAAGAACAAGTTTGGGGACATTATTAGAATTTCATCATAGAGAGTACTGACAACAATAATAATACACAGAGTAAAATTACATATACTAATGATCTAAGTATATATAAGTATAACTAAAATATCAATAACAATAAAATTAAATTTATTGAAAATAAAATAAGTTTTTTATTCAGGCCACATAAATCACTGAAATATTTGAACAATATACACGGTAGCTAGAGGAAAAAATAAATTGCAACTTTAAATATAACTGGTTTTCTTATGTGACATTGTGTTTTATTTTAAGACCTGATCAGAATGATGTTTCCCATTAAGTAAATTCCTTATAAAAACCTTCAATTCTGGCATTGACTTTGATTTTGAAATGTCATAAAACACTTAGCATTCAACATTTATGCAATTCAGTTTTAGAAAATGAAATGGCATGCATATATCAAATTTTAAAGTTACCAAATACAGGTACCTTTATCCCTATTGCTGTTTTCTTTGCTTCTGCTTTCAATTTGGTTGCTCGTAAAATAGGTTTGGTTTTTTTATAATCTTGTTTACCTAGAAAGAAATAATTTCAGGTAATGAGCTATGCTTATATATAATTCAAGTTTAACAGCCATCTGAAATGTCAAAGAATGTTTAAATACAGTAAGACTGGAATACAGAGTTGCAAAGTAGCTCCCAGTTTTGGAAACCATAAACTTGTCACCCTAAGGTCAACATCTCCTCTCTTAATTTTCTGCAGGAAGAAGATCTGACAGACATCTTTGATTTGGTGTGCAGTGAAGAGCTAAAAAGATAAAAACTAATTTTAGAGAGTAAGATGTTTAAGGTAAAGACAGTAAACCTTTTGGAAGCATTTAGAAACAAATGGGTAAATGAGTATACATAAGATCCCATTAATAGGTAAGTTAACTTCATCTTCTTACACGAAGAATAAGAGCTCCTTATATATTTATTTTATTAGGGATATATAAAATACCCAAATAATCAATTTGAGGAATATCCTCAAGTTTTCTGTAAGAAACTAAGGAAGATCTGTAAATACTTAACTTTCAGTCACTGAATTCATTAGAAAAATACATATTTAACTTTGTTTGCTCTTAAGAGAGGACAGAATAAATATGGCTAAATAAAAGATGTAGGAAAGCTACATTTAGATATTAGTTCCAATCTTCTCTACCACATTTCACAGCCAAAGATGAACAAAACTAAGTTAGTTAACATCACCAAATTTCCTTTTTGGTGTACCATTTGATGACTAATGAGTAACAAACCTGAGTTTGCATGTAACCTATATGTAACCTAATGAGTTACATAACCTGTGAAGAAAATAGATTTAACATAAAACAAAACAAGAGTAACAAAAACTTTGACTAGAATAATATACTCTTTTGTTAACCAAAAGAACTTTTAACTAAGAACTGGGTCAATGGGTCTCAAATACAGCATATCATTCTGTGTGGGAGTTAGCATAAAACCATGTAATCTCTCTTTTAGTTTGCCTTGTTTCTATCTTACTCCCTTTCCCTCATGATCAGTTCCTTTCCAAATCTTACCCCTCTATCTCCTTTATGTAAATAATACAACTTCTAACTTTAAGTTCCACATCTTCCTCACATTGAAATAAATCTGAACACAGTTGATCTACACTACAATGTATCATAAAAAGTTAATGTGCAATAAAATATCTTTGTTAATGAATCAAAAGTGTCTTTAAAATCCATATAGTTTTTTAGAATTAGAAATGGCAGGGAGAAGTTAGTCAAAAGGATGGGAGTAATGAAGAAATGCTCTATTTGTGTTCATTAGACACATAAAAGTGTTTGTTTGGCTAAAGAGCTACGTATTGGTTTTTGTTTTTTGTTTTTAAAGACCAGTGTATGCTATTTCCTTAACTGCTATCATATAGCAGTCATTCTGGATCTACGAACATGAGGAAGCTTAATAAATATTATTTGATGATAAGGTTTAATGATCCAGAAATGAACCAATTGTAAAAATGTACATCAAATGATCTAAATTTAAATTGTGGAATGAACAAACTACAGAAAAATATTACTCTGACCCATTTTAAATTAGCAACATTTAATTTTGCTGAAAAACCCGTGACAAGTATTCACTCTGATTTCACATCTCAACAGTCAAACTATTCATGTCATTATTCCTGCTGAGATATAAACAGTTCAGAACAATGAAAATGGTGACACATCAAATGCCACCACTTGGGGTTACAAAGCAAATTTCTAAGGAGAATCTAAAGAGAAATTTGAAGATTATAGATCCGAGGCCAAAAAGTCATTTCTTGTTTTCTCTTATATATACCCTATAATAATCTCTGGGTGCAATGGGAAAAAAATAAATGGAAAAAGGATTATCTTAACCCAAATGTTTTACATACACATATGCATTATTCTGGATGATGTGTCTGCCATAAAACAGATTCAAATATACCTCAAAGAGTCAAGGTTAAAGTGAGAATTTATCATTCTACTTCACTTGCCATATAACTTATTGGTTAAATAATGTGTTCCATTTCAATTCAACTCCTGTATCTCTTAGAAAATAATACCTCTAGATTCATATTAAAGTTGATATGAACATTTGAAACTGTATTTATAATAAATAGACGGTTTTAAAAATTATTTACACCTGGTACTTCTCCAAATAGTGCAGCTGTCAGTAGTTTAGCATTCTGCTTGCTGACTACGATTTCCAAAAGTACATACTGAAAAAAGAGGTTTCAGTCTATTAAGTGAAAACGTTTACAGGGGCATCTGTTCTTTATAACTAAAACTAGATATTTCTACTATACCTAAAGAAGTTTTCAGCATTTAAATTTTTTATGGCTTCAAGAGGATACCTATGCCTACACAATTGTAAAAAATGTAAAATACAGAAGCCCCTGACTTCTGAGTACTTAGAAGAAATACATATATATATGTATATATATGTGCATATATGTATATATATGTGCATATATGTATATATATGTATGTATATAACATATTGAACCAATCCTGGGCCTCGATTATTTAATTTCTCTGTTTAATGACACCATTCATCATATTTCTGTATTTTCATTTCCTGTGGCATAGTTTAAGCAACAAAAGCTTTTTTTCTCCATCTCCAAGCTTCTTGATTGAATGATTTATGCTTCCTCTCTCCAATATAATCTTGTAATACTACTTTATTATATTTTATTCTTAAATTATCACAGTGAAATTGACTTTTTTTTCCTTTTAGTATACAGCTCTATGAAATTTAATGCTCTTCTATAGATTCATGTAACTACTATCATAATCACAGTACAGAAAAGTTCTATCTCAAAAAACTCCCCATGCTACCCTTTCATACCCACGCCTCCTCCCAGCCATAATTTCTGGCAACCACTGAGCTACTGTCCATTTCTATAGCCCTGTCTTTTCAGTAATATGGCAATAACATGACAATGGCTTCTTTGATTCAGCATAAGGCCTTTAAGTTTTACCCAAATTGTATGAATCACCAATTCATTCTTCTCTATTGTTGATTAGTATTCCATTATATGAAGGTACAAGAGTTTGTTATCCATTCACTCAGTGAAGTGCTTTTCGGTTATGTATAGTATTTGGCAAGTACAAGAGCTACATATAAGCACAGGTGTATGGGTTTTTACATGAACACAAGTTTTCAATTTATCTAGAGTAGGACTACTGAGTCATATGGTAAGTATATATTTAACTTTGTAAGAAACTACCAAACCATTTTCCAGAGTGGCTATAACATTTCATATTCCCACCAGCAATGGATCAGAGTTCTGGTAGCATTGTATCAGAACTTGTATTAGTATTATTACATCTAGATTATCTAATTTTTAACATACAACTGTTTATAGTATTCCTTTATAATCCATTTTATATTAAGATTGATAGTAATGTACCCTGTTTCATTAATGATATTAGTAATCTGAGCGTTCTTTGTGTTTTGTTTTTTTTAACAGTGTTAAAGGTTTTCAATCATGTTGATCTTTCTAAACAAACTTTTGGTTTGGTTGATTATTTTTTTATTGTTTTTCTCTTTATGTTTTTTCCACTTTAATCCTTATTATTTCCTTTTCTTCAGCTTTGGGTTTAGTTTGCTCTTTTCATATTCTAACTTGTCTAGGCAGAAAGTTAGGTTATTGATTTGAAATCTTTCCTCTTTATAAACATAGTGTTTAACAGCTGTAAATTGCCATCGAAGTACTGCTTTAGCAGCATCTCATAAATTAGCAGGGAGAGGAAAAAAGTTACACACAGAAAACATACGTAGACTTCTATTATATTTATCTATGTGGTTACCTTTACTGGTATTAGGTTTTTATTGTTGTTGTTGCTTTCTGTATATGGATTTGAGTTACTATTTTGTGTACTTCCATTCCAATCTCAAGGACTTCCTTTAGTGTTTCTTGCAGGGCAGGTGTGCTATTAACAAATTATCTGGTTTTGTTTATCCAAAAATATCTTTATTTCTCCCTTTTTTAAAGGACAGTTGTGCTGGATATAGAATTCTTGGAGGGGGCAGAGCAAGATGGC